AAAGGTTTACATGGCAGAATCTCACATTCTGTTCCTCCATGTTGGGGTTGGTGAACTGCAACTCCCAGAACCTTTAACCATTGATTATGTTGTCCAGGGCTGATGGGAGATAAACTCCAACAACATCTAGGTGGTGGCATCGACTTGAAAACAAAACTTTTCTGCTTGTTCTTTCACTATTCTGTCTGCTGGGCTGATTCTTCTGTTCAGCTTTACTGTGGGATGGAGTGGCTGAGCAGAGAAAGGGTTATAGAAAACATTGCCAGAGCCACTGGAGTCACATTGACACATTACTCTTCCACGACCACATCTTTATTTTTTTTCCTGATGTGTCCTAAAATGCATCTTTCACTTCTACAGAGCCCATGGAGAATGGGTTTAGAAGACTCACCTGCCTTTAGCTCAGCTGTCTCTAATTTACTCTCTCCTGCATGTGATGGACAAGGACTCTCTTCATTTTCTAGTAACTCAGCCACACAAGTTCAGGAAATGGGAACTGTAATCCAACACTTATGAAAGATTCCAGGTTGTGAAAGCCTGGTTTAAGTTTATAACACGATGCCTACATACATGGCCTACAAACTTCAAACATGAAAAAGAAATACTGCTGACATGTGATGTTTTTTGAAAGGTAGGAGCCTGTCCCAATCCCTGGTTTTTACGTGCCTGTCAACTTATGGTGACCCCATACATTTCACAAGCGTTTCTTAGGCAAAGGTTTTCTTAGAAAGTTCTTTCCTATGAAATATAGCCTTCAATAACTGGTATTAATTGACATCTCCCATCCCAATACTAACCAGGGTTGACCCTACCTAGCACCTAAGATCAGACAGGATGTGGTGCCTTTAGGTGGTTCCCAACCTTTTTTTTTTTTTACCAGGAATCACTTGACCAGTGATCACTCCCCAACATTAGTACCAAATGGGTTACGAATTGGTTTTTGGTCAACTTTAGATTTGGTTTGATTATTTGGGGTGCTGATGAACAAAATTGCATTGGACAGACTACATCAGCTGTAGTTATTGATACAGAACATAAGCCATCCAGTAGTCGCCATCTGCTCGCCCACAGAAAACTATATTTAATAATCTGAAGCTGATGTTGGATGGGCCAAAACTAACAAAATGAAGTTCAACAGTGACAAATGCAAGATACTCCACTTAGGCAGAAAAAAGTGAAATGCAAAGATACAGAATGGGGGATGCCTGGCGTAATAGCAGTACATGTGAAAAATATCTTGGAATTCTTGTGGACAACAAGTTAAACATGAGTCAATAATGTCATGCAACGGCTAAAGCCAATGAGATTTTGGCCTGCATAAACAGGAATATAGGGTCTAGATCCAGGGAAGTCGTGCTAACCCTCTGTTCTGCCTTGGTCAGACCACACCTGGAATACTGTGTCCAATTATGGGCATTGAAATTGAAGGGAAATGTTGACAAGCTGGAATGTGTCCAGAGGAGAGAGACTAAAATGATCAAGCCCTATGAGGGCCAGCTTAAAGAGCTGTCCATGTTTAGCCTGTAGAAGAGAAGGCTGAAAGGAGACATGATAGCCATGTATGAACATGTGAGGGGAAGTCATAGGGAAAAGAGAGAAAGCTTATTTTCTGCTGCTCTGGAGACTAGGACGCAATTGAACAATGGCTTCAGACTACAGGAAAGGAGATTCCACCTGAACATTAGGAAGAACTTCCTGACTGTGAGGAAGATTCCACCTAAACATTAGGAAGAACTTCCTGACTGTGACAGCTGTTCAGTAGTGGAACTCTCTGCCCTGGAGTGTAGTGGAGGCTCCTTCTTTAGAGATTTTTAAGCAGAGGCTGGGAGGCCATCTGTCAGGAGTGCTTTGAATGTGATTTTCCTGCTTCTTGGCAGGGGGTTGGTCTGGATGGCCCATGAGGTCTCTTCCAACTCTTATTATTCCATGATTCTAATAATCTTTCATGGGTAGTCAGCCTCTCCCCTTCTGACATCCCCAGTGTCTCGGCACTCTAAGAGGGTTTTGCGTGACCAGTCGCTCTTGTTGCTGCATGGTTTTGAGGCAGCAGTGTAGTAATGATGAGGCCATGGACCATATTTTTGTTCTTGTGGACCACGAACCACAGGTTGGGAACCATGGCTTTAGGGTATTTACTGGAACACAGAAAATAGGCAACAGATTTGAAAACAACAAAACTAGTGGACTCTCCCCCACCTCCAGACATCTGGTTGCTTGGCAGCTTCAGATCAAGTCTTTCTTTCCCTGCATAAAGCAATACTCAAGTCCATAACTCCTTTTGCTGAAAAACATGGTTGGAGACAATGTGTTTATTTTAAGAATGTAGCTCACTGTTGATTTTAGAAATGAATAAAAGGGAGCTTGATCCATGGGATAAAAGTCGTAGTTATAATTAGTAGGTAATGGCTGGAAAAGCTGGACAGTACCTGAACCTAACCTGGACCTCAGGGGGTGAAAAAGAGATCATTCTGCACTCCCCTCTAATTATGTAGTTTGTGTTTAGATGAGGCTAGGCATTTTCTCTGGTTCACTGAGATACAAAGCAGGGATGGCAGCTTCTCATCTCTACTGGCTGACTGAAAGGGTGCATAAATACACTGGCAGAGCTAATGCAGAGTATGCAGCTGTTTGAGTCAAATGGAAACTGCTTCAGGCAGCATTCTGCCCAAACATGACAGATGGAAACAGAATGCCTCGTGGGATATTAAGAGGGCAACATAAGCCTAAATTTATTGAATGTCCTGTATGAAGGGGAGAGGGGAGGGAAAGAGACAGAAGAGTATGTTCTTGTGTATGTCTTTCACTGAAATGGACCTTGACCTCAACTCAACTAGGCTAGTCTTGATCCATACTTCTTATGAGCAGATGGCTTCCCACTTATTCAACCATGAGATACTTTTCTGTATCAATTGTGATAGCCTTGGTAACCTGTTGAGTCCTGGAGAGATAGGATGAGGCTGTTAAGAATAATTTAAATTCAGCTCCTCAATTCAAGAGGTGATTAGTATGGCCCCAAAGGATACAACAAATAATAATATATGTGTACATCAGCAAAACAAATGGGTTTGTTGGTGTTTTCTGATGGGAATGGGTGTGGGAATTTGCATCTCTTTTCTCTTACTTCTCTTTAGATGATTAAAAATCCAGTTAGAGCCATGCTGTCATTACATCACATTGTAACACTTCATACAGAACCAATGATCCATGTTTGAGAAATGAATAGAGATGCCCCACCGAAATGATTTCTCCTCCCTCCCCACCACTCCAGATGTACAACACCCCAGTAGATACAACAGTGGTGGTGGTGAGGTGATATTTCTGATTGGCTCTTTCACAGTGACATGGATCCCTAAGCATTTAACATAATCTGATTGGAGAGGAACATCAACACAAAGGGCAGTGAATCCATTCCAAGTTCTGGTTAGTTTTGAAGGTGTTATCTAAAGTGCTGAACTTGTTTAGGAATAGGGTTCCTCAGCTTGCAGAAGCCCTTCAAAACATGGATTAATATTTGAACTGTAATTACTACCCAAAGGACATTTAACCATCACTTTTCCCAACAGCAAGCTCAAATATCTCCCTCTTCCTCCACAGTCCCCCTCAAAATGGTTATGATTATGGCATAAGAACATGTAAGTTCTCCATAAACACACCTATGCTCTCTTTTTGGTTCTGCAGACCTTCACATTCCCTTTGTCTATCCACAGAGCTCAAAGACTCCTCACCCTTACCTGAGTGTCATCTTACAGTCCTGTACAGTGAACCTGTACATTGCTGGGAGTGGGCAGGATTGAAGAAGCAACTGGTTATGTCTTCATAGACAGGTGTGAAATACTTCTTACAGCAGCACAGCAGCCTCTGGGAACTGCAGTGGCTCTCAGCATTGCTGTGATGATTTCAAGGCTCATTATGGGGATATAGACAGATACATACATCTTCAATCCTGCATGTTATCCAAAGAGCATAGCATTGCATTCAGAGTATAGGGGCTACAGGAGTTTTAAAGTAAATCTAGGTGATGATGGTGGTATGTGGTTCAGAAAAATGTAGATTCACGTGTAGAACAACTGTACTATACTGAGCCACACAGGATTGCAGCCATTATTTTTGCCAATTTGAGAGACACTGCAGAGATAAATGGCGTTATCTGGGATAGCATGGGGTCATCATTCTGGGGTGCTTGAGGAGGTTGGGGGTATTTACATGTGTTTTCATGCATTTGAGGGGATTTCTACATGGCTTTTGAGGAAAAAAGATGAGCAATGAAAGATTTAGGGGACTGGTAGGGACTTCAAGGGCCACAAAAATGCCAATGCCTGATCTCAACGTTGAGCAGAAAGGTGAAAAAATGCTTTGCATGTTTGTTACTCCAGCTAGCAGTCCCAGGTTAGATCTACACTGCCCTATATCCCAGGATCTGATCTCAGATTATCTACTTATCCCAGATTATGTGGCAGTGAAGACTCATATAATCCAGTTCAAAGCAGATAATCTGGGATTAAATCCTGGGATATAGGGAAATGTAGATCTAGCCCCAGATCAAGTTAAACAACTCATCCTATCCTTTATGAGTACTCTATGTGGATGACAAAAGCGAAGAGAGTATCAGAAGACCCTCCTGAGATGAAATGAGCAGAACGTATGGATTGGAGGGAAGGATATTAGAGACAAAGTTGAAGTACTTTGGCCACATCATGAGGAGACAGGAAAGCTTAGAGAAGGTAATTATGCTGGGGAAAATGGAAGGAAAAAGGAAGAGGGGCCGACCAAGGGCAAGATGGATGGATGGCATCCTTGAAGTGACTGGCTTGACTCTGAAGGAGCTGGGGGAGGTGACGGCCAACAGGGAGCTCTGGCGTGGGCTGGTCCATGAGGTCACAAAGAGTTGGAAACGACTGAATGAATGAACAACAACATGCATTCTAGAAACATTTTGAGGGGTTGAAAGAAAGCATTGCTGAAGATACAGGTGGACAGGGGCCTCTCCTTCCTACCAGTACCTGTTGGTTGTCGAGACCGTGCTTCATTCAAGTAGTAAAGTGCCTTGTTGTAATCTCCCAGGTGGTAGAATGCCACACCTGACCGATAGAGTGCCTTGAAGTTCTCCCCTTCCTTCTTCAGTACTTTCAGGCAGTATTCTTTGACTCGCTCATAATTCACCAGCTCAGCTTGAAGTAGGCAAGCTACAAAGGAAAACAGCAGTATAAGACCATTTAGAAAAGCACTCTTCTCTCTCTTCAAATCCCCCGCCCGCCCGCCCGCCCACCCCAAAGGATGCAAAGCCAGGTGAGGTGATTGTGGCTCAGGAAGCCGGCCGTCATGTAGACTGAGCGTCAAATCCAGTTTTTGCAGTCCCTAATCTCAGTTGAAAAGATCTATAATTAGACATTTGAGTTTAGGTACATTGGTAGGTGTTGTTTTTCTTGTAGAAGAGGCACGAATCCTCTGTGGAACGGGTAACAAAAATCACAAAAGGAGGCAAATGGCTTTGAAGTAACAAAGGAAAAGGGAACACAAACAGAAAGCTGAATTATGACGGGCAGTTCCAAAGAACGTCAAAATAAAGTGAGGCCTTGAAAAACTGAAATAATATGGAGTAGCTGGATGGAAAGGCGGGCATTTTGCTTCATCTTGCTGCTGTGATTCCTCTTTTGACGGTAACCTTTTAACATTCTTTGTTTAAAAAATCACCGCCTACATACACCAGTAGTGTTCTTCTTCAGACTCACACAACTAACTCTACTTTATTCTGTTAGAATGTAACTATATTTTCTGCAATCAATACAGAAAGGCGGAATTCAAACTTGCTCCATATTGTTGCTTACTGAAAGTCAAACTTGTGGGCATTCAAACTTGTATTCTCAAATTACTTTTTGTATTTTCCTTTTATACTAACAGACATAGCTAAGAATATATATATATATATATATATATATATATATATATATATATATTCGAATGATGTGTGCAGATCCAAGAAAGGTGGCCTTTTGCAGTTGACAGATCGTGATTTTGTCAAGCACATTTGCATTAAAGAAGGTTAGAATAATGGTTTAATCAGAGTTGGACAGTCTTATTTTAAATTAGAGTTTGATGTAAATATTCAAAAACATTTAACCTACTGGTGCCTCAATTAATGTAATTTTACCATTTTTATTTTGAAATTTACCAGTAGCTGCTGAATTTCCCACCCTCGGCTTATACTCGAGTCAATATGTTTTCCGAGTTTTTAATGGTAAAATTAGGTGCCTTTGGGTCAGCTTATACAGTAGTTGGTGAACCTCAGCATTTTAGTTAAAACAACAGTAAGGTAGAAGCTTAAACTGTCTTCTCCTCTAAACTAGTATTTTTCAGACTATCTCTTAGCACTCTTTATACCTATCTTGTCAGATGAGTGATACTATAATTCTCTGTTGAAATTGAGCTGGCTGAGAATGAATTGCTGAAGGTTATCTACTAAGCTCCTGAGATAGACACGATTTGTACTGTACTGATACTCCTAGTTTAGTCTCTTAGTCACTAAGCAACTTACTTAAGAACTGCTGAAGTGGAAAATCTGCTATTTACGCAGTATTCCTGGAAAGATTTGTTCAGAGGGGGTTTGCCTTTGCCCTCCTCTGAGGCCAAGAATGTGCAACTTGCCCAACCTTTTCCAATGGGTTTCCATGGCTGAGTGGTGATTTGGGTTCTGGTCACCAGAGTTTGAGTCAAAAGCTCAAAGCACTACATCATGTTGGCCACTATTTCCAAGAATACATGAATCATCTGTACCATCTATTTAGCTATGTAGGTACTTCAGTTACATAGTGAAGTAGTGTCTCCCAGTTGGATCTCTCTCAATCCTTATCTATGGGATAGCAGCCACTGCTGATTGGGAAGCAGCTGTCTGATGTTCTCATACCTTCTCATGGATGGTTTTCAGTACAACAGCCATAAGCAGGGTTCACAATTTTCCCTTGCATCTGAGATTGCTCGCAAAAGGCAGGATGGGAACACCTGTCAACTCCTTAACAGTGGGTTGTTGTAAGTTTTTCGGGCTGTATGGCCATGTTCAAGGACATGGCCATACAGTCCGAAAAACTTACAACAACCCACTTATTCCAGCCATGAAAGCCTTCGACAATACAACTCCTTAACAGTTTACAGGAGGAGAGATCCTGGGTTTAAACACACAATGGAATTGTTGTATGATTACAGTTGGGGTTAGTTTTGTGTTTAATCTTTCCTTATCACACCTTTTATTTATTTACTGTATTTATATACCACTTTTCTCACCCTGATGGCAAAATTCAATGCCTCACATACATTAAAAAACCAAATCATAAATCTAAACAAAACATATGCACAAATTCAATAAGACAATAAACTCTAAGATAAAACAACATTTAGACATGAAAACATAAAAATTAAAACCAACTCATAAAAACATTTAAATCACATGACCCAAACTCGTAGACCGGGCCATTCCAAATGACGATTGCACACATTCAATATTTACTTCTTGTATTGTGTTACTTTACTATAAAAAAAGTTTGGTCCCATAACCGTGTCTTCTCTCTTTCAAAGGACAGCAAGGAGGGGGCTGACCTTATTTCATTAGAGAAGGAGTTCTACAGATGGGAGGCACCACTCTCTCTCGTCTCCACCAACCGCACTTGCAAAGCAGGTGGGACCGAGAACAGGGTGTTCCCAGAAGATCGTGACACCATTACTCTCTTTTTGTTGCATTGCATTTCCATCATTATTGGGTCTCATCTTTTCATTAGCAGGAAAAACTAGTGAATGGCTGCAATATTGCCGCTGTTCCAGTTATTGCTTCTCATTCAATCATTTTGTTCCTTAGCAGTCAAGTGCTGTTGGTGGGTATGCCTCTTCTCTCCTCTCATTCCCAATCCCTAAGCAGGGTGAACTCATGTTGTTTTACTGTTTCCCGGGGTTTTAAAAGTTTTTGTTTGGCCATAATTGAGCCATTGTACAGCCATGGGAGGGTTATCCAATTATGCAATTACAGCTGCACGCACCATTTGTGAAAAGTGTTGAAACTGCACAAATGGGCTATTACAATGCAACAAGAAGAAACTAAACAGACATGGATAAGAAGGCAAAGTCAAGTGAGGCAGTACAGAAGCCTGATTGTGGGAACATGCATCACCACTAAAGCACCACAGTGCTATTCTACACTGGAACTGTTTTTATACTGTTATGTTTCCATGTAGTTAAACAACATGACTGATGTGAGACAACAGGGTGGTGTGATAAAGGGCCTTTCCACACAGCCCTATATCCCAGAATATCAAGGCAGGAAATCCCACATTACCTGAGTGTGGACTCAGATAACCCAGTTCAAAGCAGATATTGTGGGATTTTCTGCCTTGATATTCTGGGATATAGGGCTGTGTGGAAGGATCCTTAGTGAATTCTGCTCAAATGGCCAAATCTACTTGAGTGCAGTATTAACATATCTTTAAAAACCAGTAGGACACATTAGCCTCCCTCCACTTGGGCACGATAAGGCCCCTTCCACAAAGCAGTATAAAATCCACATTAAATTGGATTATATTATATTATATTATATTATATTATATTATATTATATTATATTATTTACAGTATTTATATTCTGCCCTTCTCACCCAGCAGGGGACTCAGGGCAGATTACAATGCACATATACATGGCAAACATTCAATGCCAATTAGACATACAACATATGGGGCAATTTAACATTCCAGCTTTTTCCGGCTTCATGAGAGTATGCTCGATTCCAGCTCCATTCTGGCCACAGGGGGAGCTACCACTTCCCCATCCCTTTGTGACACCAAGTCCTTTGATGGAGTACTTCCTCATTCTTCTGCATGCTGCTGGAAGGTTTTATGGTGTCGTAAATTAGTATAATTAGCCTCCCCGCATAAAGTGGTACCTAAATTTCCTACTTGACAGATGCAACTGTCTTTCGGGCTGCATAGGTCAACAGCAAGCTAGACTAATGTCCGGAAGCTCACTCTGACCCGGGCTGGCTTCAAACTCATGACTTCTCAGTCAGTAGTGATTGAATGCAGCTGGCTATGCAGCCTGGTCCTTGGCAGTGTGGACTCAGATAACCCTGTTCAAAGCAGATAGTGTATTATCTGCCTTGATATTCTGGAATATATGGATATGTGGAAGGGCCCTAAATGTCTCAGTACAGAGCTGGTGAGAATGTTTGACTAGGGCAATTTTCTTACATTACCTTTAGAAATATCAAAACAAATGCAATGAATCCGTATGGCTCCTGTCAACCTAAAAATAATTAAGATGAGCTTTACGACCTATCTAATCCAAGAGGGTGTGCTTTCCAGTGTATGCACTTAAAAGCCATCTTGGAGCTCATGTGCAGGGCATGGATGCAACTGCCCCCTCCCACAGTTGTTTCCCTAGCAACTGGCATTCAGAGTCATTTTGCCTCTAATCTGGGATTTAGTATATAGCCCAAATGAATAGAAGCCATTGACTAAGTTATGACTAAGTCTTATCCAAACCAACTATAAATATTAATCACGACAAATTAAAACCGTATAGCTTTCAACTGGATTTAGTCATGACTAACTGGCTCTGACCTACCGGTTCTACCACTTGGAATCACATCTGCAATTGTGTTTTGTCAGCATCTGTACATTCCATTAAATGGGCTTCAGGGGAATGTGACTTACCTGCTTCAGATGGTACCATGATTGGAAGGAATTAGAGATGGTGCTTGGCAGGTTCTGGAAGCAGCCTTATGCCAAGTCAGTCCACTGGTCCATCTAAACCAGCCCTGCCAACTCTTTGTGTGTGTGTGTCTCAGGAGCAACTTGAGAAACCACAAGTCATTTCTGGTGTGAGAGAATTGGCCGTCTACAAGGACTTTGCCCAGGGGATGCCCATCTTGTGGGAAGCTTCTCTCATGTCCTCGCATAAGAAGCTGGAGCTGACAGAAGGGAGCTCACTCCACTCCCTTTCGGTCAGCAGTCCTGTCGGCACAAGGGTTGAACCCATTGCACCACCAGGTGCTTCTAACTCTAATTATGATAGTTCTACAGCATTTTAAGCAGAATACTTTCCTGGTTTTGTATGTCTCGTTTTTCCTAGTGGTCTCCTATCCACTGAACCTGCTTAGGTTCAGATATCATACAAGATCTTATATGTACAGAGTGATCCGCCTTAACCT